GTTTATTGATGTTACCTGGCGTGCGCCTTGATGCGATTCTGCTGATGCTTGTCGATTGAAAGAGCGACAGGTAGATCGAAGACTCTGTGACATGCGAATGAAGGCGCGTTTCAATCGTTGAATACGTTAAAAGGGACATGAACTCCAAAGAGAGAGAGAGAGAGAGAGAGAGAGAGAGAGAGAGAGAGAGAGAGCAAATAGAGTAAGTAGTACCATGAAAACAAATGAAAATTAGCGCTAAATTGACGATACAGCAGTAAAGTAGAAACTCATGATATATGGCTTATAATCTTCGTCGTACATACATAATCATAGATCAATTTTAATATCTGTAATTTCTCACTTGTGTCGCACTTTGACTCGTACATATTTCGATAAAAAATGCGCTCTTATTCGTCTGTAATCGGGCGTATGTTGCACTTTTTAATTCTCATTGTAAGCGAGAAAGAGAGAAGTTACTTTTTGCGCAGATATTAATCTCGACAGGGCTACATGGAGATTTCGCTAATTACGCCGAGTAAATCATACTTTGGACAAATAAGTAAAAATGCAAAAGCGGCGCGGACGCGGGAAGAAATAGAAACAAACGAGAGGAAGGAATAGCTCCCTTTCAAGGAAACGTTGTGAATTAGTTTCCATTTGCTAATTACATGCGGAGAAGCTCGGCAGGTGAAAGAAACGCAACGGAAATAATTATGTTTAATCCGGTAAAAATTAAAAACTCCGAGGGAACCGAAAGGAACTTTTCCTACCTGCATGCAGCCGCGCATCGGATCGAGATCAATTTACAATTTGTTGTATACATGTTTACTGTTCATTATTATGCAACATTTGTCACTATCGAGAGATTGTCAATAAATTGAAATATCTTGAATGACAGTTCGCTGAAAGAGCTCGTCCCATCGCATCACGCGTGCTCGCGTGCCAATTTTCTGTAATTAATATCTCAAAAATGATCATCGTTGTCTGCAAACTGATAGACTGTAGAATTCTTTCGTTCAGTTTGATGAATTCTACTACTTGTGAGAAGACCTATATAAATTATTATATATATGACATTCTGCACATACATAAATATAACTTTATTTTATTGTAAATCGTCCTGTGTATTTTAATTTATATTTTACATTTTGCAATCCTTCTAACGAGTTTTAGAATAATATTCAAGGCGGGAAATTCGCAGGCGAATTAATTAAAGATCACAGAATGTTAGGCGCGTGATGCTTCTGTCTTCAAATACGCGCCGTCCAGTTAAGGATTAAAAAACTACAGGAACGAATGGTGAGAAGAGGAAAGGTAAAGAAAAAAGAGAGGAATCAGAGAGGAGAGACATTCGCGTTAAAAGGCTGCAAAGAAAGGAGCGAATCGTGAAGACGTTCGACCGGCGCTTTTCTCGTCCCTTATCTCGCCGGCAGATACGTTAGCAGCGTTGTTACAATATCGAGAAAAAAAGGAGAAAGGAAAGAAATAAGAAGAAAAGGAAGAAGGAGAGGAAGAAGAAAGCGAAGCTAGGGAAAAGTACGGTATACAACGTAGCCATGTACAAGTAAGACGGACGTACGTGTACGTACGCGAATCCGTGTGTGCTTCGTACGCGCACTTTTAACGAGCAAACTTTCGACAAATAAATTTCGCGAATCAGCGCGCGTTTCGCCCGGAGGACGGCGTCCATTCGTTACGCGCTTGTGAAATCCGCGAATGAAGAACAGGCCGGTCCGGCTACACCATCTACGATAACATTCAACGTCTGTATCGAGGCAGCGACGAATGCATCGCGGATCGATCTCACACTTTCGATCGAACACGACGAGGAATCTATCGCGCGCGCGTGCGCGAGAATTTTCCAGGGAGCAAGCAAAGAGGAAAGACTCCGACAAAAACTGCATTCCACCGTCACGCTCCAGCGAATCTTTCACATTGTAACAGTCGACGTGCGACAATCAAAGCGATCGCTCGGCTCGTTCCTTGAATAATTGAAGCGCGCCGGGCAAGTAATTATTGTTGACTGATAACCGTCGATAAATATCAAAGCGACAACGAAGGGAGAAAAGAAGAGGAGGAGAAGGACAAAGACAGAAAGAGATGTCTAAATTGCACCGAATAAAAGTTAGATTCGTCGTTGTGAGACGCATCGTTGTAATTATCCGAAAGACGAACGAAATAACGACGACAACCGCGACGGCCTTACCTTCGCCAGTGAAATATCGAGCTCGACCTCGCACGACTTTAATTCTTCAACTTCCACCGACAGTCTTCATCCACGTCATCCTGTTCGCCTGCCGCCGGAAGAAGTTCACTTGTCTTTCGTTAATTCTACGACGACACGAAGCACAAGCAGCTTAAAAACTAATAAGTAACTCCTATCCGGCCGCGTCGGTTTTTCTTTTTCCCCGTCTCGCTCTCTACATTTCTCGTATCGTCGCTATTCTTTTTCCCCTCTTCCGCGTCGCCTTTCCTTGTCGTTCTTTTTGCTACCAAAACGAGTCTCTTCGTCCTGCCGCTTTCCTTCGAGTTTATACACGGGGTGTCCCCGTGCAGAATGGGTCGAGAACAGCGTGTTTGTCAAAATTTTGAAGGCAGGAAACTTGCTTGACAGCTCACGAGTTAAGTTTAGCTTTTTTGAATAAAAACATCTTTTTGTAAGATTATAATTCGCATCGAACGTTCTTTTTAGTATATGACTATTACATCTTTAACATGAATTTTGAGTGAATTTAATTGATTAAAACGTGAATAGATGGTTCTTTTCCTCTAATCTGTATCAATTTTCATTCAATTTGAGCTTGAAATTTAGATACTTTTATATATCTCATTAAAATTTCTGCTATGAATTTGTGCAACAACAGTAAACGAAATACCGATGAAAACTGAGAGTTGCGCATTAAAAATTCTTCATCAAGAAAAAAATCAAAATCCAATTTCGCATCGCTGTGCGCTCTTTTTTAGGACACTCCGTATACATATCTGTATATACATTCGCGGTCGCAGGGGTGGCTAATTGCTGGAAATGTGTCTTCTACCGGTCACAAAGCTCGCTCGTGGCTCACAGAATGGCTCGACGAAGCTAATCCCCCACCGAGTTTCTCGCCCTCTAAAGCCGAAGTCTCATAAATTCGACGAATCTCTCGATGCGCTCTAAGATATAGTTAAAAAAGAAGGGAGCTGCAGGGGTAAATCATTCCACAGCCCGACGGGCTGGATTATCCTATGGTTATTAACCCCTGTCTTAGCGAAATCCCAAAATTTTCTTGCGAATTCTCGACAACTCGTCTTGCTTTCTTAAAATTACGATAATAGAACGCACCACTTGTTCGCGATGTCTTCGCGAAAGAACCATTCAACAAAACTCCTCGACAAGACTTCCAACGTTTACAAATATAATTTACCTTCGATCCTCGTGGAAGGATTACGCATCGAAAGAATCGCCGTGTCAAACACAAATTTTTCGCTGTGTATGAACAAATCGCGAGAAATGTCGAGATGTGACAAATATATGTGCCCAGGCACAAGAAATCAAATTTTTTGGAATACCTCACGATAATGTGTGTGATTAAAATTCGTTTCTCCTCTCTAAAAGCACAACAATGTGAAGTGAGAGAAAATTGCAAAAATTAATAGCCTCGTTCCTCCTATTGCAACGTCCGATGACTGTATCGAAATATATATTTTTTTATGTTCTCGAACATTTTCGTGGCGTTCGAATAAATCGACGTGTGCCCGGTGCGCGGCGATCGGACGTACACACACACACACACACACACACACACACGTACACAGACCCGAAGGGAGTGTTTAAAAGAGTGATACGTTGGAAAACGCCGTGATAGATACACGGGGGCCATCGGCAGGCGGTGGCCGAAGTTAGACCGCCCGCCTACAAGCCGCGGCAATAAAATGAATTTATCGATGCCGCAAAACGACGGCTCCTTGCCCATTCCCCTCCCGCGGCCGTACTTCATTTTGCCGATATTAAATGCTGTAAATTCAAGCCGCCGCTCTAACCCCCTACTTCCCCCCTCGAGCGATTCGCGACTCCCTCCGCCCGGCTGCTCCGACCGCTGCAGGATGCCGAAAGATCGATGGACTTTTGTGTATATTTTTTCCTACGTACATATGTATATGTATATGTACTTTTACATTTTTTTCGCTATTTCTTTGCTAATTCCGCAGGCTGTAACAGATTTTCCCAGATTTTTCCGCGAATGCGGTCGCCGTGACTCTGCATTATTCAACCGTCTCGATGCGGCTTGATACTGCGAGAAATCGAGGACACTCGCAATTCGAGGACGCACGCTTTGTAAAAGGCAGTTATGAATAATAGATAACGCCGGGATGAAAGTTGGTATTTATATTTTAATTGGAATCACTTTGTATAGCGCGGGGAACGAGCGGAGCCGCGATGTCAAATCCGCCGGAGGCGGAAATTTCTTCCATTCAATTAACGATCTTCCGTCGAGGTCGCTTTATTATCACGAGGGGAGTGTTACACGTTATTATTATATTTAAAAACTAATTGGAGAATACATTTGAGTCGGACAAAAAGACCTCATAAAAAACCATGTAAAGGATAATAAATCGTGCATATTATTTCGAAAGCATTGTTCAGAAATAGATTTTAACAATATAAAAACAGTATTTATTAGAAACAGAAATGACATCTTTCTCGTTTTGAGCTGTAGATTCACTCTTCCTGAAGCATCGGAGGTAAATTAATTAAGAATCATCCTATATCTCGCCATATTACATTATAGCTGCATTATGCCAAAATAATCGTATTACTTTGCAGCCCTATGCCGTGCGGAAAATAGTTACATTACGTTACAGCTATACACCACCGAAATATTCCTATTGCATTACACTTCCATTATGCATTAGGCTAGTGCGATTATGTTGGGAAAGGAGGAGGGAGAAGCGCGCGATCAGAAAATAAGAGCTCAAAAAAGCACACAGGATGCACGCATATCGCTGCTGCATTTCAATATCCGCCTTACATAAATTGCTTTTTTACATCGTCACCGCCGGAATTCAGGCATTTGTCGCAGAAAGACGTCAGCCTTTCATGGCCCCCTGATCCACGACGAACGTCGCGCAGACAGCCGGTTTTTCCTGCGACGCTTTCAGCTCCTCGTCAGCCACAAAGTGCTGCGTCATTAAAAATTTTTTCCACCGGCGGAACAAGTGATAGCCGTTTGACGCCACAAGTCCGGACTATACGGCGGATGATCGAACACTTTGTGACGGCGAAAAATTGGCTGGCTGTGCGACGTTGCGACGTTCCTCGGCGAAGGGGATACAAAGCTCAGGGCCCCGCTACGAAAAATGCCTAAATTCCGGACGTGACCGTGTGGAAAAGTAATGTAAGATACACGTTGGAACTGAGCACTGATACATATTATTTTAGGAGCTATCCCGTCCCCTATCCAAAGTATAAGGCTGATTGATCGTTACATGAAACAGAAGAAACAGATTGATTGATTTCAGCAAGATTGAATATTATAGCTAAGGAGATTTGTACACGCGGTAAATAAATTTATGTGAGTGAAAATTGCGAGGTTGTCAGCGAGGTTTTCAGTTTTATAACAACAGACAATTCTTCCCGCGTAGAGCCACGTTCTGGACGCAAATCACGTCAGACGCATTCCTCGTGATTTATTCATTCCACACGACGATTGCGACGTTATTCGCAAATCGAACGGCTACGATTAGCGGTAAACGCGCAGTCTAAACGTACCTCAGTTCCCCGTACGTGCGTTCTCTTCAAATTCGGCTGTATTCTCTTTCCTCAGCTAGTCGCGATCCAGAAAACGACCATCGAGAATGAAACGCTCGTGAAAATTATCCGATAAAATCGCGGCGCATCTCCGGCACGACCGATTTCAGCATCTCGTCGTCGTCGACGATGCTACTTCGTGCCGGAATTTCATCGAGGACGCGGCTTCGTCGTCGACGACGACGAAGACGACGACGCATCGCCCCGTCCGGGCGCGCGTCGGAGCGCCAATAAGCGCAGTGTCGGGCACCCGTAATCAGGCTCGTAAAAGCGGGCTTTACGGCCGGGCGAGTTTACGCAAAAACCCAATCATATCCGCGTATAACCCCGAGAGAGGAAAATAGCGCGGCGCCGCCACCGCCACGCGCGGGCGGGCGGGCGGGCGAGCGCGCTCGCGCGTCGTTGCATGAAATTCCGTATCGCGTCACCGGGGATTTTTCCCTCCCGTTCGGGCGCATCGATCGAACCACCCCGCAGATTTGCGCTATAACTTAATGGCGGCGATGAAGGTATTGATCGGCCGTTTTAATCTTGAATTCTCGCACAGAGAGATGCAACGCGACACGACGCGACGCGACGTGAGCGCATGATTCATCCGAGCGCGCGTGTCGCTACACAATCATAAAATCGTTCCCGGTCGGGGGATTTATGAGACGAATATTCCGGCGCATCTACATGCGGGACGCCGCGTGCCGCCTACGTGGGTATTTTTGCATCCCCGGTGGCGACCCCGTGAACCCCGTCGTCGGGGTTTTCGACTTATTTATTTAAGTGTCCTCAGCCGCGCGAGCGTGCGCCGCTGATCGCGGTGAAACAACTGAACCGACTATTTTCGCGCACACGTGCGTCACGTGTGAACGGGAACAAAGAGAAGTAGAAGAAATGAATAAACAAAGTTAACGCACGCCGCGCACAAATTATCGAGAAGGTTGATATTAGTATAAGAAACCTCTTTAAATGCACGATTTTTATAAATACCACATACAACTCTATCGGAAGTCCTTCGACGGGCATTAATTTATCGTCGGCTCTCACAGTCAATTAGCTAAATTAATCTCGCTACGGCCGACGAATCGATGTAACGGACAGGTAAGCGGTAACGCGGGCGTGCGAGTAGGCAGCGCGCATGTAAACGCACATACGCGTATCGCGTATGCAGGGAAGACGCTTTTCACACGGGTGGTATTTCCAGTTTTATTTCCCACCAGAGACGCTTCGGCAACGCACGCGCGCGATATTGCGCGCACGTGCATGCGGAAGCGCCGTGATATTTGCGAACCGCCGGTTCGATCGTTTCGCGGCACTTCACATCCCTGACAGACGTTGCAAAACAACATCGGACAACAACTGTTCGTAAAACGTTGGCAGAGCGGAAGGGGCAGAAAATTCTCGCGACAGAGCGCGTCCATCGGCGAAGTTACACGCATAGAATACCCCTCTGCTCGATGTTCCTATAACTTAAAATTAATTATCGCGTTTGTCATGAGCGTTGCATAAAAATACGAGAACAAATTCTGAAGGAAGATCTTTACATGCTATATTTTAACGTGCATCTTACGCCAATAACTCTACGCCGGTCGAAAGTAGCTCGCACAGGATGTGCCGTTCTAACATTCGCGCCTAAAAATATTTGCGAGAGAAAAAGTGTTTTATATAAAAAAATTATCTCAGGTAAAAATAATAAAATTTCGAAGAGATCATCCAATCGGCGTGAAACACTCACAAGATATTTGGATCAGCTCGTAATTGACGGCAGAGTGTAGGTATTGTCGCTGCCGAAGACGACGCGGTTGTAATTTTGACAGAGTAGATTCTTCAGCTGCTCGGCGTGCTCACGGTCCCTGGTCTCGCAGACGACCTTGACGTCCACGCTGAATAAGTCGGACATTATCCAGGCCCGCTCGTGCATGATGTCCTTTATGGAGACACCGATGCTCGCGAGGGCCTTGCAGAGCTCCGCGATACCGCCCGGTCTGTCCGAGACTGTCACCGTGAACTTCAGCAGGCGACCTTCGGCGGCTAATCCACGCTCCAGGCATCTACCCAAGACAGTTGTGTCGATGTTGCCGCCGCACAATAATAACACTACCCTGACAGGCAGAATTACAATATCACATCGCCAATTCACGGCTCCGCCGGCAGGCGCTTACGCTTTATCGCGCATCGTGAAACACGACGACTCCGCAAGTAACGAAGGTTTGATTTTCAGAGCAACTCGTTTCCCACAGACAGTTAATTACTTTGATGAACGTGTTGTTTGATGAACATCTTAAGAGGGTACGTTGAGAGGTGACCAGCAAAAGATTTATCAACGAGACTATGAGAGACACCAACCTTTTTCCCTTGAGCTCATCGAGCTGACTAGCCAAGATGGCCGCTAAACCTGTCGCTCCCGCACCTTCGACAATGCACTTCTCATTCTCAACCAGCTTCAGGATCGCGATCGCGATCCACTCCTCCTTCACCATGACTAGTTTGTCGATCAACGAATCTGCCGTGGCGAACGCGTTGTATCCTACCATAGGAACGGCCAATCCATCGGCCAGGGTTGACTGTATGGGGGTGTACGTTGGTTTACCGGCTTTGCGCGCCATGTGATAACTCGCACACCTCTCTGACTCGACCCCCTAAGGTTCAAAAACATTCGTTATCAGTACGTTTCATTCCGAACAAGAGCGGTCTTCCCGAGTCCTTGAGATATTCGAGCTTATTGCGGCCGTATAGTGCGAAAAACGAGGGGCCAATACGGTAGACTGATAATCAACAAGAAAGAGAACAAAATCGTGAACTCACAATGATCTTGCAATTCGGCCGAAACGTTTTAACAGCCAACGCAACACCCGCTATTAATCCGCCACCACCGACGGGCACCACCACAGCGTCTATGTCTGGTACTTGCTCGACGATCTCCAAGCCGAGGGTTCCTTGGCCAGCCATGATGTGCGGGTGATCGTACCTATTTGGAAAGAGCAACGATAAAGAAGACAGCATTGTATAATCGTCGTCAAGCTCAAGATAAAAATCCATTTACTCTTGCTCGTAAAATTCGAGGTAAAAGTAAATACAAGCAACATGACTGATGATTATTGGCCATTTTCCTTACCAGTAAAGATCCGAAGATGTCCTTCGTCAATTTTTACGATTTTCAATTGTGCATTTAACTTCATAATGAATTTGTTATAAATATAAACGGTCGTAAATAACTACGCGTAGTTATTATAAATATAAAAAAAATATATTACCCAGTTTCTCTCAACAAGAAATTTCTTTCATTTACCGTCTTAGTTGAATAGATATTGTTATTCATTCAGACTCTATATATACGCACCCGTTAATGTAGATCAAGCCCTTTTCCTTCGCATGCTTCAAGGCGATTCTCTTGGCCTCCCCCATGTCGTTGCCCTCGACGATCACATTCGCACCGTACTGCCGACACGCCGCAATCTTCATTATCGGTGCCACCACCGGCATCACCACAGTCACAGGTATTTTCAGCTCTCTTCCGTGGTAGCAAAGAGCCAGAGCGTGGTTGCCCAACGAAGCCGATATCACACCGACACACTTCTGCTCGTCGGTGAGTTGCAGCAGAGCGTATCGGGCACCGCGCTCCTTGAAGCTACCGGTAACTTGACCGAAGTCTTTCTTCAGGTAGATATCCATGCCGGTGCCCGACAGGCGCGATTTCTAAATAATCAAGTTGATCTTAATCTCGGAATCGTAACGATCACAGGAACCCATATTGGATTCGATCTTGTTTCCTCCGGCGTTGTTCTCCAGCCGATTCGTGGAAATTTGCAAATGCGGTATCGTGCGATTTATCTCTATTTCGATATTTTAGCATTTGACGATACATTTACATCAGTTTATTCCTTATGATATATGTCTTAAAATATAAAAGAATTATTATGTAAATCACCGGCACAAATGTGATGTCAGTTGATAAAGATTAATTCAGCACGATACGAACGAGTTGGGTTACTAATGAACTTGCTAATTAAAATTATATCAGTTTCGATGAAATAAAATCTTTTGACAAAATGCAACATCTAATTTTGGAAAAATAGGCGTATGTCATTCTACGAGGCCGTCAATTCGAGGCATTTTTCAATGCATAAGATACGACCTTGGGTTTTGACTTTTCCTCAGGGTCGAACCTGCCGCCGAGCTATGCGGCCAAAGAATTAAAATTTAAAAATATCTACCACACATGGTGTACAGATGATTCCGGATTTTATCTTGAACGCCGCCGACGTGATATCCTCAAAGGTGATCTTTTGCGGTTGATCCTCTACGCAGCAAGGATCGATCAGCTCCATTTCTTCGTCCTGCGATAGGAAAATCAGGATGTGTATCGCCCCGGGTTTTCAGTCATGCATCATTCATCGCGTTCTACATCTTAGAAGCACTGTGGCCGGTACAATACCAGCGCGTCTCGACCGCAAGATGTTAATAACAATTAAAGTTACATCGACCATCGACGTCGGCGGGTGATCACCGTTCATCGGCTGCGACTCCAAGTTCTCGAGTGCGAACATACTCCGGAAACTCGATTTCTTGTTCAAGTCCCTCATAACGGAATTCCGAGCGCGACTGGCTGGCGAGTGCACGACACGCGAAACACGAATCGTCTGCATGTTTCTCCGATGTTGTCAAACACATTTATTGCATCCGCGGGCATGAATATCGCTCCCGTTAGTTATTATCGTGCCGACCTTCGAACTGTCTTTCGACACGAGACTGTCGGCAGTCAAGTTCGCGTGAATATTAATATCGTGCCGAACCCATCGAATTTTTCGCGCTATGTATCGATATAAACTAATTTCTCCTCGCACATCAGCGCTCGATAGTAAAGATTTATGAAACACGTTGCGAGCTTTTCCTCTGTTACTTTAATACCCGCTACCTTATTAAATAATGTACATATAACTTGACACCTCCTACATTTCCAGTGAAAATGCGTACACATCTTGCAACAATTCGTCAAGATTTACAGATTTATTAATCTATTAACCTAAAAGGAGAATATTTGATATACTCTGCCAGTTTATATTCGAGTACACGTGATGACGTGAAAAAGTACAAATTTATAACAACGTGTATCTCAGCAATAAGTCACACGTGACTTCTCGTTCCTGACGTCACGAGTCAATGTGACTGATGAAACAAGACTTAACATTTCCCCTTCTTAATTAATATTATCGCACATGTATCCCACGTGTATAAAATTATTTATATTTTACGTTCCAAATTTCACGATTTCCCAATTGATAATTGAGCAATCATTGCCGTTACTTGGCGCAATCAACAGTCGCGATGTACAAAAACGTCGGCACGATGCGAATGACGCAACAAATTGTATTAATCGCTAATATATATCACTAAACGTTGAGACAATTATTCTCGGTCTGCGCACGGCCTGTAAAAAGCGCAGGAAAAGTGGAACTTCGTAACGACGGTCGGTCGGCGGAAAAATCATACAAAAACGTATAAAAAACAATCTGTAATCATACTTGCACTCGTGACCAATCCTCCGATGCACGTGACGGTCCCGTTCAGACTGATAAACAATAAGTGTGTATGTGTACGTGACGCACCAGAACACGACGAGCGGCACACTGTGTGTCCGAAACCGATATCGGGATATTCACGACTGAACGAAGCGGATGAACACCAGAACCTGCTCGCTCCGTTCATAACACGCTTCTGATAACCCACGTCGGCCGTCACCTTCGGTAATGACCTGCGACACGATAGTTATACCGATTATAACTTGAATCACATCGCCGATGTTCAATCAGTTGGGCCGCAGATAATCCGGTGACGAAAGTAAGCGCGCATTCCAGTTCGGCCCGATGCGAGCCGATCTTCGATCTTCGATCATGAAAGGTGGATGGGAAGAGACGCGGGTCCCCGACGCATGCATAAATTTGCAACAATCATCGGCAGCGCGTACACCTCTCTCTCTCTCTCTCTTTCGCGCGCTACCTTTTCGCCAGCCACGATAGCGTTGCTATCTGTGCCGCGTACTACGTGCGCGAGCGTAAACGAGCATCGTTATGCTTGCATCAGCATCAAAGGCAAATACGACAAGCACAGTGAGGGGCACGTGCCGGCAGTTTTCAGAACGTGCCGCATATGTGTGTAATCTGCGCGTATGTGTCGGGCTTGCCTTTATCGACGAGGTGAAGAGAAGGCAGCCTGGAAACGCAGCCTAGATTCGCTTCTCGGCGATTCCAATTATCAACATCCGCATCGTCTGGTCGCGGTCAGACTGACCTTTGCGTTTTCATGACGACGCGCGTTATCACGCGCTCGCCACGCTACGTTTTTTCGATGACTCAGACATCATAGATTTTATTAAGTGGCTCATGCAACCGTATACAAGAGAGAGAGAGAGAGAGAGAGAGAGAGAGAGAGAGAGAGAGAGAGAGAGAAAGTTTCAATTATTGCAAATTAATTTCGGCTAATAAATGCAATAATGGCGCTCGAATTTCTCAGAGCCTAATGACAGTTCCGTTTGGTTTTTTGACTCGCCGGCGGAAGAGCGCATTGTTTGTGTTAGTTCACGAACAGACAGCGGATGTATAGGGTTAGTGCTGAATGATGTTTATAAACTATAGCGTCGCGCTTTGCAAACGGTCGAAGCCTCGGTGGCCGAATTGGTACGGCGCCAGAGTTCCTAACTCTACGACGGGTTTCTAAGCTCAGACAGGAGACGAAAAGCCCAACATTAGCCTCGACATCCAATGTTAGGAGTTTCGTCTGCATTTGAACTCGAAAAAAATACTGTCGTATCGATCAAACCCATGGATTCCGGGACACCTTATATATTCCGCTCCTCTCTGTACATGTTATTAACAGGGCGTTGCTTTCTTCAAGCTGGACCTATCTTTGAGCGAAAGTCGAAGTCCGCCGATTGGCGTAAACGGACATACAGCAGGCGGGTCGAGATTTCTCGCGTACGGGGAATTTATCACACAATAAAATGAAATGGCCGTCGAAAGCTGTCGCTTTACAAGGGACGTTCGTCTGGTCTAAAGAGAGCGAGCGAGAAGGAGAGACACAAGGGGCGAGAGGGAAAAGAGGGAGGAAAGGAAAAATTCCGCGACGTTATTAGGATCGCAGTTGCCGGCGTCGATCATAGCACATTCAGCATCGCTGCTGCAAAACGCAACAGCAGCACATACGTCAGTTCTTTCCTGAAACAGTGCGCGACGCAGCCTGCGCTGGCCATTACCGTCGTTTCACGACGCGAGATTTCTTCGCTCATAAAATCGTCATCGGCAAGCCCCCCGTAAGGCTCGTCGAATGACGATAATAACACTTTACTAATCGACAGTTAGATTTCACAAAGCGAGTGCCGAGTTGTAGTGAGAATCGGTTATGATGATAATAATAATTATAATTGAGATTATATTTAAAACTAGAAGTTAGATTAGATTACAAGTTAGATTAGATTACAAAGTTAGATTATATATATATACACAGAGCTATAATGGGATAGATAAGAATTAGATAAGATAAAAGCGGAATGTATGAAATGATGACTACTTTTGAGATAAGAACATTCATTAAATAAATCTACCATAAAATAACAAAGTGTCGATAATCGTGCAATGTCTCTGCGATTATAATAAAATGCACAATCGTCGGAAAAATTCAATTCTTCTTACTCCGTAAAATAGCCTTTATTAAACGATATTCATGTGAATTATACAATTGTTATTTTGTTATGTTTAACGTGAATGATACAATTGTCATTAATAATACAACATTATAATACTAGCGGTATAATGCACTAAGGTCAAAGTATGAATACTCGAACACCTAATCTCTAAATAAGAATAAATGAAATTTGCGGTACAAAATAAAATTCTTTTCTTATATTTTAAAGTTTTAGTTGCGAGATATATAAACACGTATATTTTCCATAAATTTACACTTTTTGCAAAATTAATCATTCATTTGCTTTTTCTTTTGGTAAAACAGATACAAGAATTTGCCAACTTTATTGATGCTTTAATTTGTCGATTCAATTAAGGATTTATTAGGTAAGAGAGATGTCCAGATATTTGCTTTACGAAATTTTTCGTTTATCGAATGCTCATTGTGAAGAAACTAATACTCAATTAATTTTCCTTTATTCTTAAAAAATAATATCATCTTTATATGTTACTTGCGCAAAAAAGAGTCTCTTTAAGAGAGAGATTTGGCTTTATACAGTATTTCCTTTTATAGTTTTCTTTTTTCATCGTTCAGAGATCGGTGTATTTACCTGACTTGACCTCAACTGGAATAAAATTATTTGAGGGACACTGCCATTATTTTTCACGATAAAATTTGCGTAAAAATTCATGAATGTAATCATGTGAATAGCTGGTTTGAAAAAGACATGAATAATCAGGAAGCAAGACACTTTACTGAATAATTTAAAGGACAATTGCTTAGGATTATGTACACTCGTTCGCACAACGGTTTGTACACACTTTTTCCGATGAAGTTAGAAGGGCATCGTGTGTACACAAGAATAATCGGTGCGTCGCGACACACCGAATATCGATCATCGCAAATAGACCGTGAAAAATTTCAGCTTATGTTAGTAATCCAAACGTTAAGTACGAAAAAGCACCCGTCGATAAATGACGTTCAATTAAAACGTTAATGTGCATTTCGCGAGCTAGGATCCATTAACGCGCTTCGCACGTAATTAGCGATACAGTCATTAACACGCGCTAAATGTATGTGCTGAAAACAAATCGCTGATGAATTAATAAACTTATGAGAACTTTATGGGGACATTATGATAATGCCATTATTTACAATGTCGTCGTACGTTATGATGCTGTTATTTACACAAGTTCCTCTTCATTTACAATAAACCTCCGCGCTTAATCGCGGATCGTCCGAAGCAGACGATTCCTCTCCTCTCTCGACGCGATATTTAACATACAAAAAATGTATACGTAAAAAATATAGATTTACAATTTATAACGGGTGTAACTGTTCAAAATGCACTCGTACCTCTGCTGTTCTCGACGATTCGTCTTCTCTCCTTTAGAAGTTCCAAAAACTTCGCTCTCGGACTTCCAGGGTACTTCAATTCTACACTCAGAGGTCCGAATTTGTGATTCATCGAGTCGATCCTCAGGCTATCCTTTGATCCCATGTTCTTTCTCGCAATTTCGTCCTCCTCGCGAGACGTTCGTCCTGTCGCTTCAGGACTCGTTGCATCCGTGAGACAATCGAGATACTCCAGCTTTGTGTTCAAGATCGTAGGCTGATTTGATATTTTAATTTCTGCTAACGGACTTTTATTCTCTATCGGCAACTTGTCGCGGAATTCCGCAGGATCGATCTCAGCTTCAGTCGATGTCCAAGTCGATCCGGCTTCTCTCGTCGACCCCGGGAGCTTCGTTTTCCTCGTGTTTCGCGGACTACTCTCAACTTCGCCGAGATAATCCTCGGTGGCTTCATCGAAATCAAAGACTCCACGAATGTCTCGGCAAAAAGTTTCCCGAAATTTCGAGCAAGTCGGTGGACTTCGTGACCTAGAATCGGACATTTTCCAAAGGCGTCTCTGTCGGGGTCTCCTCAGACTCCAATAACAACAACTGCTGGAATCAGCCGCGCTCATCAGCTGGTCAAAGATTCTGCGCTCGAGATCGTTCCGTGACGTGAGATCGTCGTTTTTCTCATCGTTAAAATCGTTCTTATCAACTTTGACGGCTTCCTGCCTGTCTCTCTCGTCCGAGTTGGACTGCTTCGCGATGTCAGCTCGATTGGAAGACAAAAAGGCCGGGGAGATCTTGGAAGAGCTCGATAAGTTGACGTCGTCCTCGGAAATCGCGCCCTCGCGTTGACGGGCCGCTTCGTCCTTGGTTACGGCGAATGTCCTTCTGGAATCTACGCTGGGACTCGCTAAACCCGATTTAGCGCCAGCAGATTCAACGTCGATGCCGTACTTGTCACGGAGGAATTGATTGTGTTCGCCGACTTTGTCGATGCAAGCCTCCAGTCTCTCGATGCCCTTCAAGCATCTCTTGTAAGTCTCGTAAGACTCGACGGGAACAACATTGTCGTCGTCTTCGTCTGGTTGTGGTTTCTTGTCGGTGTCATTTTTCAGACCTCTGCGTCCTCGGGATTTCACGTAGTCTTTGCTGGCAGAGAGATGGCGTCTCTGACGGTTCCTTCGCCTCCTAGGACGCTTTCCTAGGACGTTCTCCAACATGTTCGTGGCACTCATGTACTCGTTTATAGAGTTCATGTTGCGCATGAAGGCCGTCGCTTCGTTCAGGTACTTCTCGAATATTTTTCTCCTGGGAGCTATGCATAAACCGACGTCCTCGTCCTCGCTGATCAGACTGTCCGACTCACTGTAGAGCTCTTCGAGGCTGTCTTCGTTGGAGAACTCCATCTTCTTGTCGCTCGGTTGTTCCTTGGAGTCTTCGACATCTTTATTCTCTGTCGCAACGGACGGGGTTTTCTCGCTTGGCGCCGACTCCGACTTTTCCCGCTGCGAGAATCGATCAGTCTCGATGTTTGATTGAACGACAGCCAAGTTTTCAATCAATCCGGGCTTCTTCTTCTTTATCTTCTTGATGATGGACTTCAAGGCTACCTGCCTCGATTTAGCCAAAGTTTTGCGACTTGTCACGGTGTCGCCTATCTCCTCCGGGCTGTTGGGATTCGAAAACGACACCTTCTTCTTATTGATGTTATCAGATACTCCTGACGTTTCAGCGCTGATTTCTTCCTCAGGGTCGCTGTCCACGGTATATGAGAACGTCCCCAGAATCAGCGATTTGTAATCGTGTATTGAATTTGCCAATTCTTCTGTAATTTTCCTCCTTGGAAGCTCTATCTCGATGGTCTCAAAATCCTCATCTATAGAGGATTGCGCATTGATCGTATCCACGTGACTCATGGGCTTCGAAGCTTCCTTCTTTGTGTGCGCGACTACATCCGGAGGACAGAGATTCTCGTAACTTTCATGCGAATCCGCGATTCCCGCATCGCCCGCTTTTCTCGCGATGTTGTCTTGCTCGCAATCGAGACTGTCGTCCGAGAAGTTATGGTCGTAATCCAGTAGAGCCTTCCTCGAGGCAGACTCCAGTTTCTTCGAATCCTCAAAATCGCTGACAATCTGACTGGACGAATGACGAATCGTGTCTCCCGATCCTTTATCGTCCGGAGTACATTCGCCTTTCATCCCGGAAGAAGTCGACAGGTCATCGACTGACCTTAAATCAACGTTTCTCTGCGCGAGAGAAGGCGTATCGATCATTTCTCTACTATAACCAACGAGACCCGGTGACTTTCCCGGGCGCGATAGAGTCCAGTTCTTCCAGAGGTCGTGACGAGCGAGCTTATGCGCCGGTCTTCTGGGACTCAAGCTGCAGCTGCGTCTCCTCGCGATAAAGGCCCGTGTTAAGCCGCCTTTTAGAATCGATCGTTTCCTCTGACCAAGATGCTCAACATGCACCTTGTCCCACTCCATTTCCGTGCCACTCTCCTTTGTCTCGACGACGGAGGAAGTGCCTAACGAGTTCCTAAAGGTCACCGATTTCTTCATCGCGATCTCCTTCCTCAGGTCGGAAGCCGCTTCAGAAGAGCTCTTGCTTCTCGGATCTTGGAAGATGTTCTCGATTCTGAAGACTCTGCCGTCCGCCTGAATGGCCGTCGACCTGACCGACAGATCCTCCAAGAAGGATCTTTCGACCTCGTATTTCACTTGCTTGTCTGTCTGAGACTCTTTGTCGCTGGAGATGGGCTTCAGTCTCTCCTCCACCGATTCGCCGCCGTCCACCACAGCGATCTTGGACTCCAGACCGTTGGTACTTTCGATCGTTATGCTGATCATGTCCGGTAAAGATATCGAGATGACGTTCTTCTCGATACTGCTCGCCGAGGCCAAGCTGCAACACTGATCGCAATTGATGTCCTTCCGCTGATCAACCGCCCCATGGCGCATCGCCGTCTGCACGGCTGAGTTCCTCACAGGCGACGAGACCAAGGTGTTCGTCGAGATATCGGCGTACTCCACTTTCCTGTCACCCTCCGAGTAAAACTCGGACACCTCGGCGCTCTCGGAGCGGCTGCTCTCCGTATAATTTTGCGTGTCGTCGGAAAGTATGCCGGAGTCGTTTCGTGGGGAGCGCTGAAGCGGTTGCTCATAGTCGTCAAAGTCCAAGTCGTTCGCCAAGCTCTCGGCGTCCTTGCAACGGTAAATGTGGGTCCACGGCCGGTCCGTCAACGTGGCGACGTCCTTCACCCGGAGAACCGGCAATCGGTAGCTCACCGGTGCTTCGTCGCAGCCAGTGTGATCCTCTGTGAGGACCGCCACGTCCTGAAACACCAGCTTGGGCTCGTCCGTGAGACTAGCGGTGTCCTTGAAACGCAACGTCGACGGCGTCTCCGTCTGCGTCTCCACGTTGATCCTGCGTCGCTTCAGTAGCATCCTCCGCGAGATCTCCTGGAGCTTCGTCCTCGCGGCAAAGCCGCTGCTGCCGCTATTGCTGAGGGAGGGCAGCTTCACGTCGGTGCCCTCCGGCGGCGAGCGTGTGCCCGATGCGTTGTTGGTCGCCATATTGATGGTCTCCTCCATGTGCTTCCTGCTGGAGTAAAGTCGTTCGGTCACGGCTGCTACGATCTCGGCGCGCTTCACTTTCTGGATTGTCGCATGAGGCTTTCCACTGGCCGCCGCTTCTTGTTCTAAGGAGCTCTTCCTGCGCAATAACTTGTCGCGCGTCAAGCTCGAGATCAGGATCTGCTCCTCTTTGGAGCTGCTGGAGCTGCTATCTTTACTGGTCTTCCTCTTCAGGTTCTCCAAACTCGGTTTACGGCCGTAGTTGTAATTGAAGCCGCTCTTTTCATTGGTGGAATCCTTCAGGCTTTTGTCGGAGTCGTTGCTGCTCTTTCTGTGCAACTGATCTTTGCTACCGATTGCCTTCCAGATACCAGTAGACTTACTGTGAGTCTTACGATCGTCGACTTCGCGGATGTTGTTGAGTTTCTTCGCTCGCTCGGATAGCGTTGAACGCTTCTCCAAATTCGTGTGCGACCGCTGGAGGCCGGAGAGTGGTTCCTTCTTCTTGCTGATCCCCTCGACAGAGCCGAAGTTCCTCGAGACGTTCAGGTTCGATGACGATAGGTCGATCGAATTTTGTTTGTGGAACTTACCCCTCGGGCTGTCCCGCTGGACGGATGTTTGGCTCGATGGAGTCTGCGGGAACTCGCCGATCCCTGAGTCATCCAGAGCGTTGCAGCAATTCACGGGATTATTGCTGCGATCGTCCAGATCAACGTCGTCGACCTTGTCCGATCCGTCGAACTCGTCGTTGCCAACCTCGATGAAGTCGGTGTCGATCGAGTCCTCCTGCACCTCGTCGGAGCAAATCTCCTCGATCTGCGTCGAGGACTCTTGCAAACTGTCGTCCGGCTTGATCAACACCGCCACCAGCGTCGGTATGTCCACGAACACCGGCTCGTTGATCTCGTCTACCACCTCGTCCTTTTCGTCGTTCAGCTCGGTGATTTTCGCCTGATTGTAATTACCAGCGAAACGGTCCGTTGGCTGCAGGTGCTCGTAAGAGCTGAACTTTCTGATGAAGGCCGAGCAACCAGTCTCGTAGGTGATCACACTGTCGCTCGAGTTGGACCTCCTGATCGACAACGAGTCGAAGGGCTTCTCGTCCTTCGATAGCGCGAGATCGTTCCTCGGAACGAGTTCTCGGAAGCGCGAGGTGTCGAGCGAGTCTTGTCCCTCACGATACTGAGGGTTTGTCGACGAATCCTTTGAACTTTGAACTTTGCCGCAGCAACACGACGTTTTAGCCCCCTGATCGATATCCTGCAACAAGATATTCATATAACCAATTTTATTTTAATTTCAAGTTAAAGAAAGAGTGATGTGTGTTTGCCAAGTGTTTTTCGATTTTTCTCAATTTACGATCTTGACGTGTCTCGCCGTGTTATGTACAGCGCGTTTCAAAACTATCGATGCTCACACCGAGGTAAATTTTTTACCAGGTGTTGATAGAAGATAATTTTTAGGACATTTCAAAATATATTTTATATTTTGAAATATAATAAAACTTTTGTAAATATTGCTGAAATATATTTTTTGATAAAGGTGCAATCGTAAATTGATCGATCGTCATTCCATTCGCTCGTCAGCCCGAATTTGCTGACAATTTACAGCCGTATATTTACAGTTCCCAACAACAGGAACACGTTCGTTAATTTTTTTTTATTTTATTATTTGTCGGAGATAATTTAAAATAATACCGAAACGTTTAAACATATATTTCATAAACGCATTTTGGCCCTGTGCTATTTCTGTATTCATATCTGCCAATAATTTGTATTTTCTATTAAACATTATTTCCGCACAAAGACCAACGCACTGCGTTTGTCGGCCCATTCGACATTAAGATTTGATCTCATACAGAGTTTTGTATATATATTTCTTTCCCCTCCGCGGGGATATACATCACACACATACCCACGTGCGTAACAATTATAATAGGCGGTCCGCAACGAAGAAATTAAAGCGTATGAATAATATCGCATCGCGGATTCGAAATACACAGTGTGAAAGCTCACGATCGACTGAGTCACGATTGCGGAGCGGACGGGGAGCATGAGGAATTTAATTAATCGACGATTATGCAATGTGCGGAAATGAAGGATAGCGCAGCCCGGCTGATGGAAATGGAAACGCGGATCGCTCGTTAAGCGTAACCGCACCGGTGTGTGTTATATTTTATCAGCAATCGTTCGGCCAATCGGCTCGCGACGAACGCTCAATAAGTGTCAAATAAACGATCGATGAATCTCATTTACGTAATGACATCGGACAATATCGCTCCGCTTCTCGTATTGGTAAATCCCGATAATAAACTCCCGCGCTCTCACGGCGGCGTCGAGCGCGCGAGGCGGCGCGGCTGAAAAATCGGCCGCTATTTATCGCGGATCCGCGTTTCATGTCGGGGCGAAATTGCGAAATTTGTTTTATAATGCCGCGCGCTATTACCGATCGCGCGCCGCTCGAGGCTCATTAATATTTTCCGCCAGCAGCATGCGAGCGCTCCGGCCGCGTTATAAAGTCGCTCGATCAACATCAGACCGGGGATTAAATCCTTTCGCATTTTCAGACTCGCCTCCCGCCAAAAGCCCGATTCTTCATTCTTGTCGCGCCGCGGGACAAGCGGGAGAATACGCCGCTAATTTTTAATCGATCGAACCGGCGGCGTTCTGCGCGCAGACACGCGTGATAAAAATACCAGAGGTATTTTGTCGCACGGGACACGACCCGTTGCGCATGAATAATCGCGCTGTCTCGTCGGGAAATTTGGCTCAGGTATCGAGATCTGTGTTGTATTTCTCTCCCTCCCTTCCTCCCCCCCCTCTCTCTTTCTCTCTCGAGTTTGTCCAAAATTTTATCGGCTTCCTCGAGGAAAGAAGTTTCTTGTTGCACGATGTTTGTCGATTCGATTTATTTCACGTTTCACACACACACACACACACACACTCAAAGCTCCGTATGATTTATATCACTATCAATTTGCTGAAATTAGGTCAACTCGATTTATCGTTCGATTTATTTAATCGAACCGAGCCGATACTCCCTCGCGTAAGCCGCTGGATAAAGTAGCAATTGAGTTTCTTGCCTTCTCGAGTAACAAGGACTTCAACCTGGCGACTTCGTCCCTCAACTCGCGGACGAGTCTCGCCACGGGATCCTCGTTGACCACTGGTCGGTTGACCACGCTCTGCGCCCTTTGGGCGAATCGCAGGGTGTGTGCGGTCTCGTTGTAACTTCCGCTGGCCGGAGATATCGCTGTGGAAGAGAAACAGCGGGACGAGCGTTAACGTCGTAGAAGCATATGCGCGGCGGTGCCGCGCGTTTCACAACTACGACTAATTGATCCTTACGGTGCGATTTCGCCATTTTCATATGCATTCTAAGAGCGCAATCGTACGTCGCCGATCCTGCCAATCGACGACGGAAGATTCGTTCGGGTAAGTTCTACTGAGAAAATGCCTACCTCGCCGAGCGCTGCTAGTCTACTCGCGATAGACGAACTATGAGGCACCGTGCGAGCGATGTTCGACCAGAGAAACTAATTCGCATGTCTATGAAATCGCATCTACAGTCATCTCCTGACGATCCGAGAAACAGGCCGGCACGCAAAGTCCGCTGCATTCACAGATTTCCATTCGCGGGCGATCGAGTGACGAATGACAAACGTTCCCGGACGCGCGGTTCGAAGACGTGGAAAGAAAAGGAAGACCGAACACGACTGCTCGATAATTTGGCACAAAATTACAACGTCACAACACGTCGAAGACACTCGCGCGGCCGAATCGACCGAGCGCATTCAGATCAGCGCGGACGAGATCACAGAGATCGGAGTCTATCATACAAAATACTCGCGTGGCGTCTGTCGAATTAATCGGTGGTAAAATGTGTAAAGCGAAGAGCTCCAGGGGAGAGCTCATCCCCCACGCGTGGACGAGTCAACTGGAAATAACCCACGGCTCGCCGGGAGCCGGATAATTCGAAATGGATTTCGAGCGTGGATAGCCGCAGGAATGGCGGAGGAGTGTCTTTTCCAAACGTCGTACGGTCATCGCCACGGAGTCGACGTATAAAAGCCGCGGGGGTGTCGGCAATACGCAGGCACCGCGGATAATATACGGTCTATTCATTCTACGCGCGGCTCAATCACAAATGCGGGCCCGCTGAATATTAAACGTCTCTCGATAATAAACCGAAATGCTATTAGCAATTCAATTAATTGCCGATGATCAGCGCTTCGGAATATTTCACTACGATTAATTATACACGTCGCCGACTCGGCTAGAAGTATTCAAAAACTACGCGGTGCGCGGCCGTTCCCCGGCTAATTATACTCGGCTCGACTCTTCCATTTCGGCAATTAATTGTGACGAGTCGGAAGAGGAGGAAAGACCGGCGCGCCTTCCCTCGATTAGCGTCTCTCTATCTGCGCCGTCTACGCTCAATCACGCCTATTTCGTCGGCTTTTATCGCGTGACGCGTGAACGGACAAAAATATCGCGATAATCGGAGTGAACAGCCAAAAGGCTGTGCCGGTTTTATTTCTAATTAGTTGCGATAATCTCCGATATAACGTCTCTACGAAATGCGTTTGTGTTCGCGCAGACACGACGCAGATACACACAAACACACACACACACATACACACATACACACCGTCGCGTTATAATCAAAATCGAGGAGGATTAAACGGAGATAGCGAAGCTCAATGGCTCACACACGTCTTCATCGTGAAAGATCGAAAATCACGCGGTCAATTTTTTTTATTTTACAGAGAACTTTGCCTCTGCCCGCCTAATCCCCTCTGTTTTTCACACGTGGGAACGATGATTTCGAGGATCAAAGTCTTCCAGCTATCAGTACTGTGTAACGCAATCCTCTCTACGTGCTTCATCTAACTACAAACAGATTCCTACGGAAAAGGTGAATGCCGGCTCTAACAAAGGAACCGTCGGAGGTATCTTATGCCGATTATCCGGTAGGCTTCGGACAGAACACAGCAGCGAGGTAAAAGACCCGAATTTTCTTTGGTACGCTTATCTGCACGCCCTTAGAGTTTCAGACAATCCCTCAAAGATAACTCAGCTCAGAGTAATTTTCAGCGAATGTCATCGAAAGTCGCGAAATCGAAATGCAAAAGAATATTTTATGCATAGATCCCTTACGGTAAATTGTACTCGCTTTACAATGATGTATTCCGATACATCGTTGTAAAGTATTGCAGGGGAAATATTGACGATCGAAGGTAGTCGATCGAGTAACTAACTATCGCAAGCTCACTACGGATTCTTCTTATTTACCGCTCCTCTCCCTCGCGCTCACTCTTTCTTTCTATCTCTTTCTTTTTCTCTCTCTCTCTCTCTCTCTCTCTCTCTCTCTCTTTCTCTTTCTCTCTCGGCTCTATCGAAATTTAATCTCTGCATCTTAGCTCGCCTGGAAAAGCATTTAAACCAATTACATCCAGCCCCGATTATCGCGGATAAGTGGGCATAATTTTGCGAATCTCACACAGACTCTCGCAATAATATTCTCCCTCCCCTCCTCCCGATAACTTAACCGGGATTTATGAAAAGACGGCGTTGTGTTCAGGGAAAGAGAGGAGAGAAATGGCCAGCTTTCCCTTATAATCCGCTCGGCCAGCGGCTGCTCTCGGGGAAAAACATCGCGATCGGGTCTGTCTTCAATTAATGAATTAAAAGACGCGGACTGAATTAATCAATTAAACAACGATCGAACAGCATAAACTACTTCAGAACACGATCGGTCTACTTATACCGTTAATAGATAAGCGTATTCGGTATGTAAAGATAGATTTTTATAGATTTTTAATCTAGTTTAATTAGTCTTTAGTTTAATAAGTTCAATTACGCTGGAAATTTTTTTATTCTCCAACGATCGCACCCTTGATGCGAATCAAGAAGAGGCGCGTCTTTGAATCTTATCTAAAAGAGGATATCTAACGGCCTTCCATGAACTGCTCTTCCGAGAGTACAGGAGGAGGCATCTCATTAAAAAGAGTCAATTAAGCGATGTCGAATATAAGTCGTCGGATTTCAATCTGCGCGCGTGAATGGCGGCTCTCGTGCCGGAGGATATTAAAATGGAGGGTTCGCAGATCAAAAGAGGGGCAAGGCGAGCTTATAATTTCCTCGCGAAAATATACACGGGGCGAAACGCGATTTGCACGGTGAGAATATTCCCGGAAGAAAACCTCTTAACATCGATAGAGAACGTTCCGGGATCGCGCGAGCAGCTCGGGAAGCGGGGGGAGGAGGGTGGGCGGAACGCGAGTTCGGGCGGAGAATTCGTGACGCTGGCTGGGGAGATCAAAAGGGAAAGAGCGGCAAGACACACTTACTGGCGAGCATAATGGTAGTGGCATTTCCGCCGAGTGCATCCTTCAGCAGCCAAGTGAGCGAGGAATCCCTGTAAGGGATGTATCTTCTGCCCGGTCCGCTTCCGGTCGAGCCTCTCTCGGCGAGTGCGGATATCACGTTCCCCAAAGCCACCAGGCTCTTGTTGATATTCGCGCCCTCCTTTAAACGATAGCGAAGGTGGTGTCAAAATTAAAATTGCTCGAAGGCAGGCCGCGTCGAGCTCAAACTCAACGACAATCACGTCTCGCTTTATCCGTTTATCGAACGCAAGTGACTCGACGCTGATAACGCGAACGCCGGCCGATATTCCTAACGGCGCACGTTCATTTAGCAACAATATATCTCCCTCGGTTCGTTATATCGAAACAAATGTATGAAATATCGCGAAATCTGATCGTGACGTTGTTTTATTTTTTTCTTTCGGATCGACAAAGAAAAAATAGAGGGAGAGAAAGGAAGAGAGGGAGAGAAATCGATCGTACATGTTGCCGCATTTCGCGAAATTCACCACCCTAACGCGTGAATATGTAGTTTAATAAAAGCAAACGTACTCTCGCTTTCGCACGAGAAATACCACTAACGACGTCCCTCGAGTTTTCACGACGCTGATCGCGCGATGGCACTTTCTGTGTCTTAGGTGGCATAATCAATGTTCAGTCACAAACGTTAACACTAAGGACACAATTGGCTTGGTTCGCAAGACACACAGGTGAACGCACACTTGATCCACCGTGTATCTTTCACATCCCGCGCACCGAGTCCGATCTCGATCGCGATGCTTGATTGCGACATCAATCGACGCACGATAAGACGCGGATCTTAAGCGACGCACTAATCACACGCAACTACACTCGGAAGAAGTGAGGACAACATAAACAACGATCTTCGTGTGATTAAATCCTTTCGGCACCTGTACACAAAACAGCAACAGATAGCTCAAGGTGAGCGAAGATGCAAAGGTCTCTCGAAGGAGGAAGCTTTTTTCCGCATTCGTCCCGACGCTTCTTCACGCTCGCTCGCGTTTATTCGCGCCTCAGCGAGTAACCCGTTCGAGTCGGTTGTGCTCGATTAGGCGAGGCCATTAGCGTACAATGGCGGTCGGCAGGAGATTGATAACTCAAGCGGAGGCTCGATCCGCGCGCGGAGCGGGCTCGCGCGAGTATCGATCTCTCATCGCGAAATTCAGCCTCGGCTGATATCCCGGCTGACGATATTATTTTTAGGGAATGACTCACCTTCAGTCGATGAACGCCGCCGCAGGTGGCCGCGCTCTCGCTGCCTGCCAGATCGACCAGGTGCAACCTGCTGCCGCCACGTGGAGCGGCGTCCTGCCTCCTGCAGGACGAACCTCCGCCGAGACGCTCGCCGTTCGTCGTCTCTTGCGAGAGGCCGACGGTGAGCAACGCGTGACTACGACTGCTGCTGGGATTCTGAAGAGTCGAGGCTGTCTTCCTGGCCCTCGTGCCCTCCTTCACGTATGACATCAACGACCCCAGGGTGCGGACCACGTGGTGCGTCAGCCCTGAAAGAGAGACGGCGACTCGTGAACGAAGGAGGGAACGCGGTCGTCGAGGGAGTCGTCGACGGTAAAACCGCGCGACATGTCGTTGAATGTTTTCGAAACAGATCACGAGTGGAGGATCGTCAAGGGGATGCAGAAGACAGACGACAAGGTACCTTGAACATAAGGCCCCAGTCGAGGATGTTCCCGAACTTTCAGGCCGCTCGCAGTCGCCGACGGTTTCAAGAGATCCCGCACTTTCTCGTTATATATCTCCAGGTAACTGAAACAGAGATTCATCGCGTATAAGTGACTCGAGGCTCATTTTTCTCAGCACAACGCGACCAATGTTCGATCGATATTTAAACAATCGACAATTCGACGGACTTTGACAAAGTTTCTGATAGAAGTCGCACGAAATCGCAGTTATTAATCCATCAAGAACAGGCACAACATTTATCGCGCGTAATGCTGAGAATCTCTAATTGAAACTCGCTTCACCAACACCATCACCACCAAACCGACCTATCTTCCACGATAAAATATCAATCGAGGTATCAATCTGTCCACGAGAAATCTGTCCTACTCACGGAATACGTTAAACAACTCATCCGGTCGTTGTACTTATTAAAAGCCGAGTCCAAACAAAAACTGAATTTCGGATTAATCGATAACGAGATATCGACCGCTGCGCGTTCCTCTCGATTACCGAAGAGGAAGCATTCTCACGATACGAGCGCGTCGAAGCGTATCGCCGGCACGAACGTGAGGTGTCTTCGCCGCGAGCGGCGAAGATGAGGACGAAAACGACTCTAGGGGACCTCGCGGCTACGCGACACGTGAGGTCTCCACGTAGAAGCTCCTGGATCCTCTTAACGTCATTATCCGCTCCGTTGCGCTCGCGGAACGTTCGCACGTGCGCTGGTAAATCGGTTTAACGGCGATCGCGACCTCGAACGGTCACGTTCACTGGGTGAAACACTTTCTAGGCTGGTTTCCGAGACCTCTCACCGTTCGTCGCCTCTTCCCACTTTCCTATCCCACTGTTTTTTTTTCTGTTTCTCCACCGTCTCGCGACCCTTTCGTTTTCCGTCACGACGGATCACACGGGTCTTGCGCAAAAGATTTGTCAAAGATTGAACGGCAGAAAGTACAGAGCACTGATGTACGTATAACAATAACCACTGCATCCATCGCGTTAAATAATAATGCATGAATATCCATGTTACGTTTCAAGAACAGGAATATAAGGTGAAAAAGTTGCAAGAGATCAGTTAATTGTTTCATTTGCAACAATTATATGTTGTCAAAGATGAATCATGATGTAATTATTATTGAATATATTCTTCATTAAAAAATATTCACACAATTTATTTCTAGATCTAGGAAATTTATTATATTTATTATATATTGTTTACAAAATACTACAGGAAGGAAGTAGCGATAATAATATATTATTGATAAATAATATAATATATGTTTTTATATACATAAATATATATAAATATATATAAATATATATAAATATGTATAAATATATATAAATATGTATATATAAAACATAAAACATAAATAAATCTTTATAATATAAAATCTTTATAATAAAATAATAATAAATCTTTATAACAGAAAACATTATTTTTAAATAAAAATATTAAAACGTTATTAAATTAAGTATTATTATTAAATTAAAATATTATTTTTTTAATATCATCATAATATTCATAATTAATAGCTATATATCGATATGATATTCGCAATTACTTGTAATTGGGATTTCTCCTACTACTACCTTGGACAAGCTTGTTTTGATTTTTTCGATTTAATATTTTATAGATAACTAAATATTTATTACGATATAATACATGACCAGACTGATAATCCCTATATGGCCTTTCAGAACAAAATTTATTCAGGGCTTTATAAGTAGGATTTATAGATCTTCTCAAGACATTATTTATCTTTTGTATATCGTTATTTGCTGCAAGCTCTGATTTAGCGGTAAAAAAGAATAGAGAGTTCTGGACAAAAATTGCTTTTATACTTTCCGACCATGTATCCTTGAGGTAGTACGGACGACTAAGTTCTGCTTGAAATCCGACAATCACATTTGGTGGCGTATAATTAGGATGGAGCGTATAATCGTGGTAGAACATCGGATAACATTCAAATTTGATTTTTCTTTTATCTTTCCTGCATTGGAAACAACCAACGTCGTGTTCAGAATTTTGGGTATGCCCATAAGTATATTCTAATTCTGGTCCTATCATTACAAGTTTAAGTATAATTTTTTTAGCGAGGACATGTATAAGAAGCTCCCAACTTGGAAAATTGAGTATATCTACATAGTTTGCGCCTATAATATGAACAACGAAGATGTCTGTTTCCTCTTTAAAATTAAATAGATTTGCAAACTTCAACCCCGTGTATATCGTCAACGGATCTGATACAAAGTCAGTAAAAGCAGCATGATTAATCTCTAAGCCTAGTTCTTGATTTAGTTCTTCATGATATTGTGAACAAAATAAGTCCATGTCCCCAATTATCCTTCGATCACGAAATCTAGAAAAATCAATATATAAAGAATTCCACGTTCGGTCTTCAAGAAACATAATATCTAAGGTGAGACTGATTGACATCTCAATGCAGCAGTTTATCGAGTGTGGACGAATCCTATCCCTGTGATCATCGCAAAAGGAGACGGATAAGCATTTCAAGCAGGTAATCGAAGTATTCCGTTGATAACATACAAAACACTTCCTTGCAAACATAAACATCTGCGCTTCGATCGGCTTTATATTATGTCTCATAAACATTTGGATTTGTCGCAAATATATCTCCTGTCTTATGAGCCACTCTTCTAAGTTTTCACTGCGCTGGGTGAACCATTCTGGATCCTCATTTATATACTCTGTTAATATCGAGCAAATGCGTTCGTGGTTCTGTCTGTCCTGTTTCTCGTGGTCCTTGCAGCAGTAAGAGATCATGTAGCATCGATAACACGTATTCAACATGTCTTGGTTTGTCGATTTGCAAATATGACAAACGTTTGGATGGAAAAATCGATCGTAATGAACTTCTGATCTGACTTGAAGAAATTGATTCACTTCTTGTATTACGTTCATAACTGTGCACCTATATGTAACCGATGTATAAATGAGAACACTTTATATATAATACTTCATATATGTATATATAACATCAGCTTTTATGTATTATACCAATTTATAAATATTGCGCAAAACTCACGTATATCAGTAAAAATGCTCAAATTTTGTACCTGCAGTATAAATGTCGCGATCCGACGTGATGTACAGATAATACTAATAAAGTATTTACAAACGTGTCTGCATCTTACTGAGATCACCGACAATTTGAATTGACATTAGCGATATAACGAAATATATACAAATAATCGTTACACAATATAGAATGTCGCGAATAAATCAGGTACACAAAGATACACAGAGAAAGATACATATAATAACAGATGTTTATTGCTGTATATAGTTGTATGTTAAAGCATCAAATTGCTTTTTGGAGCAAAAAGGCAATATAGATAGAAATACACGTCATTTCCTTCAAAATTATTAATAAATTTATAAGATGGATTTATTCATTGATTTGAATATGATTTGATATGAAGTCAGAAAAAGATTGCGCAAGACCAGTGTATATCAGTGAAAATATTCAAATTCTGCGCCAATAATATAGCTGTCAGTCCGACGATTGTATAGAGAATACTGATAAAGTTTGTGTTTACAAACGTTTTCGCGTGTCCTGGCAATCGTTGACAATTTAATTTATGATTGGAGATGTAACAATCTACGAATATTCATTACGTACGATCAGAGTATCAAAAATAAACTCAATACAAAAATAGAGGACATAAATTGACTAGATAATAAAGATTATTTCCGAAAGATAATTTCGCGTCATGATATTTCCTTTAATCCGCGAAGATGCAACCGCTTATCAGGGACCAACGATCGCGTTACAACGGCATAAATTGCAGCAGGGAAATTTTTCAAACGGGCGGTGCTAAGACTTCTGACCTCGTTCGACGAAGAAACGAGACGTACGTTCGTACGTTAGTTCAAAGAGCAAGTTACAACAGTGAGAACTTGCAAGAATCGTTACGCGAACGCGTCGAATTGGAAACTCACCGATTACCGGTGCAGCCGTTCGCGAATTCCGTTCCTCGGTAATGCCGCGAGATGTTTAGATGGATGTAAAAATCACATTGCGACGGTTATATTACGCGAAATTTAGGACACTGCGCAATTTTTGTTGCCGTTTTTCTTACTTTCTTCCAAACATTTCACGAAACAACATTCGCGTCACGCAATGATAATTTTAGCATCACAGCAACGCGTATTTCGCAGTTATGCGCTTGGCGGACGGAAAATTTGGAATTCAGGAAAAAATCGTTTCGAGCCAATATTTACTCTTCATTCAAAAATAATCTAATATTTCATCAAATTCTGCTTCATATCTACATACGTATAAAAATTGATAATAATTGAATAAGAGTGACAAGATATCATCGAGCGATAATTTAATAATACGTAATTACTGATATGTGCAACTTCACGCTCTAATTACATTATTAACAAGGATCTGCAACTCCGACAGCGAGCTTCGTATGCGTCGTAACTTATTTTCGCGTGATACACAACCACTTTCGAGTCTCTCTCTCTCTCTTTCTCTCTCTCTAAATTCGCTAGTTATCTCCTCATTGAGGACACCGGATCTCGGGAGAAAATCGATGTGCCGTGGATTCCTCCGAGAATACCGGAGAGCCGCACAACACGGCAGGAAAGTTCGATACCCGATAGTTAATGAAAATTAATGCCCCATATTGAATTATCGTTAATCGATGACGTCGAATCTCACCGACCTCCGCACGAGACTGTCTCGTTGTTTAGTTTACCTTTAACGATCCATCTCTCATTGCCATTACCTTCCATCGACACTGTATACAAAATGTATTTTTAGATTTAACTTCCTCGCTTGTAACCGCTTTAAACTTCGCCTCGACTCATCGGTGATATACACCCTCGTGATGATGCAACGAGTGAGGAAACTCTCAAGAATCGGAGAAAGTTTTTCGTGTGCAAATGCGCATCCAATATTTACAATTATTAAATATTTCCTCAGACGCAAGGTGTGAAATATTGTAGTCAATGTTTATCGGATCCATTGGCCAGTTTCGACTGACGAATGCGAAAGAACAACGCGAAAGTAAAACCTCTCCGATAAACGACTCCTCAACTTCGCGAT